ACAAGAGGAATTTGATGGTTTATTGGATCTCAATAGCTCAGCTCCATAAGTCCAAATAGGTTTTTTTGATTAATTGGAAGTTTATAGCATTAGTCTAGTAAGTGCTGAAGTAATCGGAAACAATTGGAAGTAATCTGTTTCAGTCTGGTATGAAGATTCCAAGTTAGACATTTGTCCAGGTGGAGTCCTAGGTAACGGATTTGTTCTACAGGAATATGTGGGGTGTTATTAAAGGATACTGTAGGACAGGAAGTCATAGGTTTACAACGAAGGGTAAAGGTAATTTGGTGGAATTTATTTTGATTCCATTAAATCCAAGTTTTGACACCATTCTTCAAGGTTTATGATATGATGTGTAATTGAAGCATTTGGGATGCAATTGATGGGTCATTATTTATTGATAGGATAGATGTTTCATCAGCATATGTGGTGATGACAGTATTGGGATGTCAACTGTATAAAGGATAGGACCTAGGATACTACCTTGAACACCAGCGGACTGGGAAAAGAGGGATGAATAAGCGTTTTTGTGATTTATTTTAAAGTATCTATCAGTAAGGTTGGAACGGATAATGAGAAAGTATGTAGGTGGTAGGAATTTATGGAGTTTGTACAGCAGTCCCGGGTTCCAAACTCTTATCAAACACCATTTATTAAAGTAAAAATAATTTCTTACTTTTGGTTATAAAGTATTTTAAGGTAGAATAAATAATATGAATCTATTTTTATTAATTAAAATACCCTTCATTACTCTCAATATATTTCTGCCAACGTATTAGTTATCTTTCTATTCCCACTGAATACGTTGAATAATTATTATTAACAAATTTCAATCAATAAAATTTTTACCTTTCAAAGTGGCCCACATTTCTAAGAAATGAGTAGTCGATAGGCAAGATATCTGGAAAAGGTTTGTTTCTGTTTTGACAAAGAAATTTATTACCAATTACATGAGGAAGATTTTTTTGTTAGTCGTGTAATGCATGAGGAATCTTTTAACTTCCCTATTACGTTGAAGTGGTTAGTGATGGCCAACCGGAAGTTTCTCTGCACCTTCTAGAACAGTTGTTTTAGCATTTTCTTCCACCAAAGCTTGCAGAACATCGTCTTCGAAGGAAGAAGTCCTAATAAGAACATCCTTTTCTTCAAGGATAAACTCTCCCTCTAGAAATTTTTAAACCACCATTGAATGGTTCTCTCACTTGTATTATAATCTGCTCACACTTCATTAATATTTCTTTGTATCCTGTTCTGATCTAGTTTAATGGTAAAATAAATAAATTAATGGTAAAACAAAATTATGTAAAAATCACGCTTGGAAATTTTAGTGAAGACGGAATTAAAAAAAAAAACCAAACCTGTACCGCTACAACTTTAGGTTCAGTACTATTTAGGGAAAATACTTTCTTGGTCAGTGGATGTGTTAGGAGGTGATTTGACTGAGGTCACGCTCAACCATCAGGTTTCCCCTTTAATTAATAGTACCCACTTTATAGAGGCTGAGTATGCCCCAGGATAGTCTCATGACCCCAAGGACGATGCACGGTGATGAAATAGAACAGTTAATTTATCTGTCGTAAGCCGGAATTCGAACCTGGAACCTTGATTATTAGAAGCTCTGAGCCCTACCACTGAGCCACCCCACTCCCTGACATCCATACTAAGGAATAGTCTCTCGAACATTAACAGTTTGTTACATAGAGGATTAATAAACATAAAGTCGTGCGTTATTTTCTAGGCTTCCCAATTGAAGAAATAAAGAGTTTCCCATTGATCCTTGCAAAGCATATATTGTCCTTCATTGCTATCCTCACTTGACAAAATAGTTTGAAGGGTGTATCCATATCCACTAATGCCGTGCATGCTTTATCTTTTACATAGCCATATATCATGTCATCATTGAAAATATTTAAAATGATGATGTGTAGATATCTGATATTCCATTGATTTCTCTAATAGAACCCATAGACTGTATATTGGAATCGATTTTTGACTTTCTTTTTCAAAACCCAGAATGATACTTTCTCAGTTCATGCTCGGCATGTGGAAGAAGACTATTAAATAAAAAGATAGAAAAGATGCGCATGAAAGAAGTGAGATGCCTCTGTAGTTATTACATGTATATGAATCTTCTTTATTTTGAATATGACAAATCATTGTTTGGTAATTATTTACAACCACTACTCCTTCAGCCATCTTGGTTGATTCCAGGTTATCCACAATGTTTCAGATAAGGTTTACAAGAGATAACACCAGGAAGCGCAACTATTGCAGAGGGGTAGTCTTGTATGTCCTCGACCCCTCCACCTTACGTTGATTACAAATAATTACCAAATACGACCTTTACAATATATATTACGAGCATGTATTTTTTTTTAACTTGTCCACTTTTTTGTCTCTTCAGTATATCAATTAAGCAGTTTTTGTTTTTTTTTAATTTCAAGATTTATCATTATTAATGCTTTTTGGTTTCCTTATCCTAAATTAAAGAAGTTGATAAACTTTAGTCATCGTGTCATAGTGGTGACACTTTATCTGTAATTTTATTATTTCTAAGAAGAAAGTTAAAACAATTTCAATTTTTGTTTTCCAAAAATGATAATCACAAACCGCTGTATTTTTTCGGATTAGTATCCACAATAACTTTTTCCAAAATGGAAAAGAATGCTAACTGCTAAAGGAGGTTAATATGTAACCTTACCGATCTAATTTCTATGTTTACTTAAAATGGACGTAAGGTGGAGGGGACAAGAGCCGACAAGAGAACCCCTCCGCAAATTGTGGCGCTTCCTGTTGCTATCTTTTGTAAACCTTATCTGAAACATTGTGGATAACCTGGATTCAACCAAGATGGCTGAAGGAGTAGTGGTTTTAAATAATTACCCATTGTCTTTTTCCAGTCAGGTGGTAACTTTCCTTATCTCCAAATATCTGCTAAAAGTTAAATTTCTGGTATCTTATTGCTCTTTAACTTCTTAGTAGCATCCATTATTTCCTCTTCATCTAGAGCTTCATTGGAATCTTCAGCATGGTTCTATTGTTCAAGGCTATTGTTCAAGGGTCGAGTGGGCCACGATCTTATGATCACGCTATAAATGGGTTTGAGAAAAGCCAAGGATTGACAATGTGTTCACAGTATAACCTCCCTATATTTAGATCTTTATATACGACTTTGGCAAACTATCTACTTGGTCGTTTTCAGTTAAAATCATGGCATTAACTTAATTACTCCTCTGTTCACATTTTAATTACATCCCTGCTTTCGACTTCTACTTGCTCATCAAGGATTAGTAAACCCCCAACAAAGTCCTTTCCTTTTCATCAGTCCCTCCATAAATGATATACAAAAAATATATATACATATACTTAGTTGGAGGACTCAATTAAGAAAGAAAATGGCCATAGTTTAGGACGAAATGTTGTCAAGAATGATAATATGAAAGGAATACAACATTGTTGAAATATGACTTTTAATATATGAAAACCTCAAGTCACCAAATTAGGAAAAAATAACAGAATATTAATTCCGATAATCCATTTTCAGTGGAGATTGGGGCCTTATCAAACAGTTTAGTCACTTCCAACACACTTTGCCATTGTTCAGATTCCATTTATGGTGTGATAGTGAGATTTTGTTTCACATATCTTAGTGGAGTGACACTTGTACAGTAGTGCCCCAGGCTCTCTTTTTTTTTTCCCCTTCCCATTCATCAAATTTCAGAAGTGAGAAACCCACTTCTCTGTGATCGGAAATCCATCCTTATCACTGTATGAATTATTCTGGTGCTTAAATATTTGGTGTCCTTCATTAGTCATTTGAAAGAAGGCATTACTTTTTTTCCTCTGTCATAGAATGATAATAAGGGAAAATATGATAAATTAAATATGTAAGTAATATTTTTTTATTTTTCAACATAGTCTCCTTGTAACTCGACACACTTCTCTCAGCGATGGTCCTGTCTCTGTAACCCATCCAAAAAGTACTCGCCGTTTTTCTCTGCAAAATAATTGTTGATGAAGGTGATTGCCTCTTCATTTGACGAAAATCTCTGTCCTCCGATCGCAATTTTTAGATAAGGGAACAAAAAGAAGTCGCTTAGGGCTAGACCTGATAAGGCGGATGGTCAAACAGTTCAAACCGTAATTCATGCATTTTCGCCATGGACACCGTTGAGGTGTGAGATAGTGCCTTAGTTGTCTTGGTGAAACAGGATTTTCTTTTTCTGCAAATGTGGCCGTTTTTCCGCAAGTTCTGTCTTCAGCTTGTCAAGTAATGATGCGTAATATGCTCCTGTAATGATTTATCCTTTTTGAAGATAGTCGATTAAAATAACTCCATGACTATCCCAAAAAATAGTTGCCATCACTTTCCCATCCAAGGAAACAGTTTTCACCCTTTGCAGTCCACTGTTTGGACTGTATTTTTGTTTCGGGCCTATAATGGTGTATCCAAGTTCCATCTACACTATGCTGACATTTTGGCCTAAATTGCAGGTCATTATCATGACTCCTCTTAATAGATGTTCGAATTGAGTCAATTTAGCTCACTTCAAACACACCCCCATTCCTGTATCTTCAGCAAAACATCGTCGTAAAATAGAATAAAAATCTTTTATTTTATTTGTGTTTTCTCTCTTACTGCAATCCTCAACCTTTATTTATTTTATTTTTTCCTCACCTTTTAGGTTATTCAAGGTTTTCCCGGGCCAGGTGGTGAGAGCAGGGTATTAATTCCAAACTTGAAAGCCCTTCTTTTTCCCAGCACCAGGATCCAAACTTTCAATTATCTTCGATCAGGTCCTCCACCGTTGTTAAAGGGTTAAAAATAATTTTAATAAGTTGATGTTATTTTATCAGTTCTATTAAATTTAATCAATAGAGATCAAGATATTCTGCCTGTACATATTAAAAAAATAATTATTTATATATTTTATAATACATTTAGAGTTTTTTTATTAATAAAGTAAGACTATAGTTAAACAAATAATTATTTATTACAGGAGGCGGTGATAGGAACGGTAAGAGACCTTGCCCGCTGTGTACCAAAGTTATCTCTAACAAATCCAATCTTCTGAAGCACATGAGGATTAGGCACAGCGATGCGTACAACCCCGCGTGCTGCATGCTCTGCAACAAGGTGTTCAAGAACAAGTATAGCCTGCGCGCTCACCTCAACATCTACCATAAGGAGTACATTGCACCGCCGCCCGGGGTTCAAGGGGGCCCGCAGGTAGTACCACCCCCGCAGCCTGTCCCCATGGTCACTGACCACCAGCTCGCTCCGCCCCCTCAACCGCAATATCTCTCAGGTGTATAACCTTTTTCCGTTGATCTGTCCACTCACTGATATTGTTAAATCTCATTTTTAAAGACTTAAATATTTTTATTCTGATACACAAGAATATTTTTTCTTTAAAATGGGTTTTGAGATGAGTACTTGTGTGTTTTAATCTTTTTTTTTTTTTTTTAAACCTGACATTGTCAATTTAATAGTTGTTTTATCTAGCAGTTAGTCCATTCAATTATTTTTCTTGTACCTCTGCAATATACTGTAAGTATATTTGAAATGATTGCAATTTAAATATAATTAATCACCTATTTAAGTAATAAGAGTAAAAAAAAAAAAAAAAACTTCAGTGTCAGATTTCCTCTAATTTTATTAAATCGATTGTAGTTGATCATCTTGTGTTGCATTTCATATATTTATTGTCGTGACTTATAATGATTCGCCACCCATCCATCTTTACTCGTTACATTGAGGTCAATAAAAGTACTGATTTTCTCTTCAGCAATACTCATGCAATGTTTATTCTCTCTCTCTTTTTTTGTTTATATCGTACAATATAATATATTGTATGCTATTTCAAGTACCCAACATTAAAGTACTTTTACTATATGTCTTTTTTTGAGGTTGAAACATAATTTTTAAAAATTGATTGTTTTATTTATTGATAGACTTGATAATTTATTTCTATGTATTAAAAAAAAAATTAAAAATCAGATGTTGCATTTAAAAATCTATTTGAACTGTTAGAAGTAAGGATTGTTGTATATATATAATTTTTTTTAAATCACGATATCCATAAGTTTTAGTTTGTAGATATTTATATATTAAACCGAAATATTTTCGGTCTAATGTTCATTCATGCTCTTATAATATATATATATATATATATATATATATATATATATATTTTATATATGTTAATTTTCATTTATGAAGGAAAAAAAAGTAAATACTTTAGATATTAGTGATAAGAGTATGAATGTTTTTGCCAAAGCCTTACATATCACGTGTTTCTTTTATTTTTAAATTGCAACCGAAAAGATCTCAATATTACATAATTTAGTTGCAATATGTTTTGTTTTTTTTAATGTGGGGAAATTTACCAGGACATTGTCGTCATTTTAGAATGCTATTTAGAAGATAGAGGTTCTGATCAAAAATTTTGTTTTTATTTTAACTTTTCGGAATGATACCTTTTACCAACACATAAGAAGAGTTTTAAAGGCATATTGCTTGTTTTTACAACAACATTTGATTATTTCGATCAAACTTATAGTCTTAAAAAGATATATTGTCCTTTATTTTTATTATTAAAATAATTTTTAATTTATTTTTAACATTTCATTAATGTTTTAATTCTGTTTTATATACAATAACTTCAATTCAGGAAACAACATTTTAAAAAATAAATAAAATTGATTAAGATTTTTACATATTTTTGAAAATAATAATTATTGAGTTTGTGAAATAATATGACGATTTATCCATTATCATATCTTGGAACCAATCTAAATATTTAAAAAAAAAAAAAAAATTCAAATAAATACTTCCTCAATCGATTTACAAATGTAAATGTAATTCACATCATTAAAATTTTAAATTTAACACAATTGCGTTCTCTACCAGAGTGAGGTTAGGCTGTATATATATATTTTGAAAGAGTTAATAATCTGCTTTATAAGTTTTTCAAATTATATTGCATAAGGGGATTGGTAATTTTTTATCAATGCAATAATTTTTAATATTTATTCTAAAAAGTTGACAACGAATTAATACATTCTCATATTATGTTTGGTTCAATAATCAAAATAATTTACATTATATGAATTTATCTTCATTTTGTTTACAAAAATGTCGCCATATTGTTTTTACCTCAGGTATTTTATTGAGTTGTAGATTATGTCTTTATCAAATTAACTTTATCAAAGAGTACGATGGAAAAAATTCGAGTTAATTTTATGAAATTTTCAGTACAATCTTGTGCCAGAATATTTTTAAAAAGCGCTTTTTATTGCCTTTTATTGGTTGTCCTCAACTCTCATTTTGGTTCCTACATTTTATTTATAAGCAGAACAAAATAAATAACGCAAGTTATTTATTAAATACTTAATAGTGGACCGTTGTATTATTAAGGAAGGAGATGGTCAGGGGTGTCAGTCGTAGACTAAATAGTGGCAAAACTATTTTATTAAAAGCCAATTTTACAGGTCTTCTTCAGAGAGGTGTGTTACTCAGTTCTAAGTGAAACTCCTTGCTCAACATACCTCCCTGAAGAAGGCCTGCAAAGTTGGGTCGAAACGTTGGCTTTTAATAAAATAGTTTTGCCACTATTTAGTCTATGACTGACCAACATCCTGAACCATATTCTTCCTTAATTTATTTATTAGTGTAAAGTGATTTTATTTAATCATCAATAGTCGAAGGAATGATCAGAGGTCAAAATTTATGTAAACAAAAAAAAAATGTCATAATGAAAAAAACTTATATAATAAGAAAACAATAGTAACTAGTTAAAAACTTTATTAGTTTATTATATGTGTAGATAGTTAATTTTTAATAATTCAAGATGGGCAGAGAGTCTGTTGTAAAAAAATAACATCAAATAAACTCTGATTATTTATATGATGCTTTCGACCCACTTTCTATTTCTTCATCAGGGCTAAAAAGAAAGAAACAAAAAGGTGCAACTATTTTAGGATTAAAAAGTGTAAATAGAATTGCTGACTTAAATATTATTGTACAAATTTGGAAAGTATTACGGTTAAAGGTGCGAAAACAATAGTAACTGCTATTTGCTAAATAATGCCTGATAGTAACTGATATAATAATTCTAATAGTAACTGATATAATAATCCCTCTAGATTCTTAAAATAATTTCACTTAAATTTTATCATTCTTTTTAGCTCTGATCAAGATGTTGGTAAAAAATGTCAGCATTGAATAAATATTTATTTTTTGATTATTTGATGTCTTTCTTTTTCCATCAACTCTAAAACACTCTCCTTCTTGTATTTATTGGATTAAAAGAAAACCATGAAGACTGATTTTAACCATTTCAAATTATTTTATATTTTTAAATTATTATATGTAAATAAAATAAAATAATTGGAAAAATCATCAACATTATCTTTACTATAGTTGGTAGCCTAAATGTAAGCTCATGCGACAGTAATTTAAAGCTTAATATTTTGTTTTCTTTGACACTCTGATATTACTTAAAATATATGAAAGGCCTCATATCAAAGATGGAGAAAAAAGTAAAGCAAAAATTCAACGATTACTAAAATAGGAAAATTTATGACTGATAACGATAAATCATTTAATTATACCAGGACATGTCGGTATAAAAGGCAATTAAATGGCCGATAAAGCAGCAAAAGAAGCACTCTCGCTCCCAGGTCGTGGTAGTACACTGCTAACACCATCACATCTTTCATGTCCGCTTAAAGAGAATATTCTAAAGGATTGGTAAAACATATGGGATAAGAGTGCTCCCAGCAACCTCATCACTAAAGCTGCACCACCTAGATGCCATTATTGCAATAGTGTCCTGTCCGTAACTCATATTTTCCAAAATTACCCATTTTATAGTTGTAAATTAAATGATTTAGAGATATCACAAAACATATGTTAATAGCATTGGGAAACGAGAGCAATAGATCTCACAAAATAATAGCATTTATAATAAGGGCTAATTCAATAAAAAAAAGTTATAGTAATAATTTATATTTATCTTTTTCTTTTATTTAATTTGTTTTCCTTTATGTATTTTTTATTTTATTTTATTCATTACACCTACTAGCTAATTTTTTTAACAATAACACTTTTATGGATAAGGATTTGGTGCCTTGGATGTTTTGCACCTAAAACTTCAGAACAGCCAACCAATCAAAGATTTTCTTTTCCTCCTCTTCTTTAAAATAACAGATGTCCTTCTTTAATATGAGGCCATTCATATATATATACATTTGTTACCTTTTTGACTATATTTGATGAAAATAAAATAAATTAAGTAAAAAAATAAGGGTTATGTATAATAATTTCACCAGAGATAGCAAAATTTCTGTATTTTTTAATCAACAAAAAAAAAATTAATGCATTCGTAAATAAAACAAAAACAAAAAAAATGTATATAGAATATTAAACAAAAAGGAGAATGTAAGCTATAACATAATAAAAAATATAGGAAAAACATAATTACCTTTTTTCATTCATGAAAGAATATATGATTACAAATAACATGGAAATAATTATTAGGCCCGTTTATAACATATTAATATAAAAAATACTAAATACAACTCCTACCACTCAATAAAAACTATTTTTAAAAATACTTAACCAGAATACATATTAACTCTTGTTGCTATGATAAACAACCATAGCAACTGCTATTGTTTTATACCAACAGGTTGCTAAGATACGAAAGAGATAGCTCTGTCTTAGCAACAGTTACTGGCTCTTACAATGCTACTATACATTCATTAAAAGATTACAATATCTTTCTATACATTGTAAATATTTTGTTGTTAATATAGTAGAGTTAGGGAGAAAACGAAATGCTATGTTTCAACATAATGCATGAGCTCACTCTTGAGCTGCCAAATATATTTGGTCAAGCTGTAAAATAATGTTTTTAAATTTTAATAAAATGAAAACAAAAAAGGCCATGTTGATTTAAGACAGTATTTACTAAATTTTTATTGAGCCTTCAACTGATAGTTTTTTATTTTTGCCTCCCCTCTCCCTTCTGCATTTATTTTTAAATTAATCATTCTTTTGAAATGTTTATTGCAATCAAAAAGTAATAATAAGTTGATATTATTAGTTCATTCGAATGCACGGATACTGCTACATTATTTTGAATATTTTTAAAAATTCAATAAGCCATAAATAATTTAAGCTTATTTTATTCAAAATAAAATATATCTTATAAAAGTACTAGGCATTTATCCTTATGTATGCTATATAAAAGTTGGGTTTCAATGTACTAATTCTAAAAAATATCAGGATAGACATTTAAAAAAAAAAACAAGTATAATTAATGATGAAAAAATTTGGTCCCTGGTCTGTAAGAATAAAAATCGACAAAGAAAATGTAATGTGTTAGTACAAAATACTGAACTATATGAAAGTTGAGGACTAACTATGACAATTTTTCAACGTGATTTATACAGCATAATATAATACTGTTTTCTAGGTATTCGTATGTGCAGATTTTAAATAAGAATGTTTTGAGAATGAGCGGATGTTTTGAAGACTTGAGAAAATAGTTAACCTTGGGATTACTTGTGACATTAGTTTTAGTTAGTACTTTGTTTAGTTTAGTTATCGGTAGTTACGGAACGTTTTAAAAGTTCTTAGGTTATAGACAAATGATGTTTTGTTGTAAATAAAAATATTCCAAAGATTATGCAAGTATTGTGGACTTTTTTTAATGATCGAGCTCTTTGAGATGTGTATTATATGTATATTTTTAATTTTTATCAATGCACATGATTGGATGTTGATTTAACCTGTATGTCATCTCAATATTTATTTAGATTTTAAAGAGCTGTGCCTTTTCCTTTTTTTTTTTGTAATAACTTTTAAAAAACAATCAGCTGTAATAAAT